CAGCACGGCTCTCACACCTTAGGAGGTGGATAGCAGAAGGGTTTGGTGAAGGGACAGAAACAAAAGTGGGAAGGGAAAAAAAAGACCATGCATAATTAGTTGAGTCAAGGGCTGAGTCCCAAGGTTGGGGAGTTCCCCATCATTGGGTCCCAGTCTCCGCCTCCTAAGCCCCCCCACGACAACAACGGGCAAGGGATTGGGGGGGAAGGGAGGATGGGGTGGTTGATGTTGGAGGTTGTAGGGGTAGAGGTGTTGAAGTTGGGCATGCTGGGAGAGTGGAAATGTTCCTTGAGGGTTGATTGTTGGCTACTGTACTAGTAGGCATTGGTGAAGGGGTAGTTATTGCAGTGTTCGGAGCCGTGGTCAAAGGAGAGCCTGGGGTCGGGGAATCGGGTGGGTTTACTTCTTTGGGGCTATTTGATAAAGGGGCAAGCCTCATTGTCCCTAACAGTGGGGATATATTTTCATTACTGGCCATGGTAAGCCTGGTTATGTTGGGAATAAAAACAGTCCACCCCTCAGGGTCCCTTTGAGGGGTAAGGGCTAGATACTAAATCAGGGGAATACCGTGCCCATGGCTCCCTCAGGCCGTTCAGGACTGGCACAAAGTCAGCCTTTCATCCTTTCAGCACGGCTCTCACACCTTAGGAGGTGGATAGCAGAAGGGTTTGGTGAAGGGACAGAAAAAAGTGGGAAGGGAAAAAAAAAGACCATGCACAATTAGTTGAGTCGAGGGCTGAGTCCCAAGGTTGGGGAGTTCCCCATCATTGGGTCCCAGTCTCCGCCTCCTAAGCCCCCCCACGACAACAACGGGCAAGGGATTGGGGGGGTCGGAGGGAGAGTTAATGTAGATGAAGCTGGAACTAGGGGGGATGGATTGAATTGGGAGGGGATAGGAGGAAGGGGTATACGGGGAATATAAGTAGGAGGAGGATGGATATCGGCAGTCACTGAGTGTGGAGGGAGCGGGAATTGTGGAATTTGAGGGTGGATGAGTGGTTTCTGTGTCAGTTTGGGACTCGAGTAGATAGTTTTGAATATCTTCAAGGGTCTCGGTAAAGGAGTTGGTTGGGGAGTTTTGTAAGACAAAAGGTTTTATTTGAGGGGGGTGGGGGGGGAAGAGGAGACTGGTGTCTGAGGAGTAGAGGCAAAGGTAGGTGGAGGTGTGTGTGATAGAAGGGGTGGAACGTTTAGTCTGTCTGCAGGTAGTGTGGGAGGGAGAGGGAGAGGTATTGGGGTTGCAGTAGAGATTGAAGCGTCTGGATTTAGAATGGCAAAAGAATTTGACGGGGGAAGGTAGGAGGTAAAAGCAAGATGTAGGAGGGATAGGTATAGGGGAGGCTGTTGGAATATCTTGGGAGGTAGGGGCAGAGCGATCGACATTACTGAAGGAAGGAGTAAGAAAAAAAAATAGAAAGTGCTTCCTGTCTGGCTTCAAGTTGAGCGAGTCCAAGTCTGAATATGAGAGTTGCCACCTCAGACTCAAATTTGTAGGTCATGGGGGACCGCCACAGTTAGCACATGTGACTCTTTAGAGCAATTGGATTGAGTATGCCCAGGTTGGGCACAGAGGGCATCTGGCTGTGGAACGGCAATGCTCGACAGGATGTTCTAACCGCCAACAGTTTTGGCATTGACAAAGGGAGGGATACTCCAATGTAAACATTCAAGAGGTTATGTCTACGGATAGTATTTTTGGCAAGATTTGTGGGGTTCTTACGATGACCTCGGAGAGTCGAGTAGCACAGTACTGATAGCCCGTGAAACAGGCAAGCTATTCTCCAGTCTGACCAATTTGTTATAGATAAGGCAGTTTCCTGAGGAGATACAGATGGTTCCAGTGCAAGTTTAGAAGGGGTTGGGGAAGGGACAAACGAAGAAGCATGCAAAATAAGTCGAGGGCGAAGTCCCAAGGCAGGGGAGTTCCTCAGCATTGGGTGCGTCTTAATGGTTAATGGTTAAAAGCAAGATAAATGTGCTAGACATCTAAGGTCATGTAGCACTATAGTTAATGTTAGTGAAGGGTGGTTGAGTTAGTGATTAGTTGTCTAAGCTGGGCAAAGGAATTAGTGAGTGAAAGGGTTAAGGTCGGGTGTTATATTAGATAAAGGGTGTGCTTAAGAAAGGTTTCTTGAGGCATACAATAGATGGGTTATAAGAGGAAAGGATATGATGGTCAGGTCTGTGGGAGCGGAAACCGCGAATATTCCAATGAAGGATAGTTATACTTTCGTTGATTTAGTGATATAGATTGTAGTACGTGTTGGAGAATTTGAAGGGGAAGCAGCTAGAGGGTGGGATAAGGACTGAGAGGTTTGAGATGGGAGAGGTGTGGGAGTTGGTGTTCTATCATGAGGGGTAGTAGGAGATGGAGGGTCTGAGGAAGGGGATACTTGTGACATAAGGGATTCACGTGTGTATCCAGGAGGGAGTGGAAGGGATAGAGGGGATGGTGGGAGAGTTAATGTGGGCAGGGTTGGGGTCAGGGGGGATGGGCTGTGTTGGGAGGGGGTAGGAGGGTAGGGTGTAGGGGGGATATCGTTAGGAGGAGGATGGATATCAGCAATTACTTGGAGTGTGGAAGGAGCAGGAGTTGTAGGTTGAGTGTCGGTTTTCATTAAGTAATCTTGAATATTTTCAATAGTTTCTTCTGTGGAGTTGGTTGGGGAGTTTTGGGGGATAAAGGATTTCTTGTGAGGGGGGGAGGAGAGGACTGGTGTCTCAAGAGTACGGGCAAAGGATGGTGGGGGTGATTGTGTGGTAGGGGAAGAGGGGGTGGAACGTTTGTTCTGTCTGTTACGGGGAGTGCGAGGAGGGAGAGGGGAAGGTGTTGGGGTTGTAGTGGTGATTGGAGTATCTGTAGTAGAGATTGGAGTTTCTGGATTTAGGATGGCAAAAGAGTTTGACTGGGGAAGGTAGGTGGGGTTAGTGGGGGGGTTAGATGTAGGAGGGGTGGGTTTAGGAGAAGTGTTAGGGTGAGCAGTATTACTGGAGTAAGGAGTAAGAGAGAATCCACGTCGACGTGCTTCCTGTCTGGCTTCACGCAGTGTGAGTCCGAGTTTGAATCTGAGAGTTGCTACCTCAGATTCAAATTTGTAGGTGGGACAGCCCCTATAAAATACATTATGGGGGCCGCCACAGTTGGCACATGTGCGTGATTGTGCAGAGCAGTTAGATCGGGTATGGCCAGGTTGGGCACATAATGGGCATCTGGCTGTGGAACGGCAGTGTTTGGCTGGGTGTCCTAGACGCCAACAATTTTGGCACTGACGTGGAGGAGGTTGGTATGGACGAACAGGGAGGGATTCTCCTCCTATGTAGACGTTAAAGGGAAGGTCATGTCTACGGAAGGTAATTTTGGCTATGTTAGTGGGTTTCTTTCGATGACCTCTGGGGGGGATGGAATAGCATTGTACTGATGTTGCATCGTAGTCTGTGAGACAGGCAAGTAGATCTTCTCCACAATCTGACCATTCTTTGTCATAGATTGGGCAATTTGTTGGTGAGATTGAGACTGTTCCGGTGCAAGTATTGAGGGTTGGATGGGGTTCTGCTAGGATGGGGTTACCATATAGGTCAGTTAGTTTTGTTAATGCTATGGCTTGGTTTTCGGATGTTACTGTTACAAGACGGGAGCGGTCGGGTCGGCTACGGAAAGAGACTTTACCTACTTGTTTTTGGAGGCATTGTTGGAAGAGAAGGGTGTTGTTAGAGTAGGGAGCTGTGGGAGGGATCACGAAAAATCGGTCCCATTTGGCTGCACTGAAGAGAGTATTCAAGATTGTTTTAGAGATAGGGGTGGTAGAAGGGCGAGGGCGTGACGAAGATGGAGTAGTGTTGATGGAGGTAGTGTTATGGAGAGGTGGGCTATAAGGTTGTAAGGTATTAATAAGGGAGGATGGGGTGGTTGATGTTGGAGGTTGTGGGGGTAGAGGTGTTGAAGTTGGGCATGCTGGGAGAGTGGAAATGTCCCTTGAGGGTTGATTGTTGGCTACTGTAATAGTAGGCATTGGTGAAGGGGTAGTTATTGCAGTGTTTGGAGCTGTGGTCAAAGGAGAGCCTGGGGGTCGGGGAATCGGGTGGGTTTACTTCGTTGGGGCTATTTGATAAAGGGGCAAGCCTCATTGCCCCTAACAGTGGGGATATATTTTCATTACTGGCCATGGGAAGCCTGGATTATGTTGGGGATAAAAGCAGTCCACCCCTCAGGGTCCCCTTGAGGGGTAAGGGCTAGGCAACTAAATCAGGGGAATACCGTGCCCATGGCTCCCTCAGGCCGTTCAGGACTAGCACAAAGTCAGCCTTTCATCCTTTCAGCACGGCTCTCACACCTTAGGTGGATAGCAGAAGGGTTTGGTGAAGGGACAGAAACAAAAGTGGGAAGGGAAAAAAAAGACCATGCATAATTAGTTGAGTCGAGGGCTGAGTCCCAAGGTTGGGGAGTTCCCCATCATTGGGTCCCAGTCTCCGCCTCCTAAGCCCCCCCACGACAACAACGGGCAAGGGATTGGGGGGGTGGGTGCGTCTTCGCCTCCTAAGCCACCCCCTCCCCCAACAATGAACAAGGGGTTGGGGGGGGGGGGAGGTGTAATTCACAGGGGTTTGCCATTGCATTCACTTGTGTACAGGTCTGAAGTTATGCTTAAGGTGCAAGTGATTTTAATGTCAAGTGGCATCATACAAGTCAAATTTATTGAAACTTTACTTGGAATTTGTTTTTTCCCCATTACTAACTTGTGCTTCACACTACCAAAAACGCCAAAATTCAGCTCTAACCTTACTGAATTGATTTTCAAGTAGAGTACTCAGTTTAAACCCTTGATCGAAAGTTGGGCAAGTAGGTGTTGTAACAATCAGGGAATGTTGTCATTCGATCTGGTAGCTTTAATTAGACTTGTTTAGGAATTATTCCTGGGTTCACATCTATTTTAGAAATATGGATAAAAATAAGGTCTAGGTTTACTAAAACTCTAAATTTTGAAATATAAAATGTAATTTATTGGTATAAAAGTACAGCAAGATCTTGAAATAAATTAATTTCCATAACTTAAGTCTTAGGCTTTCATCTGGAACTCCCTACACAGGAGCAAGCCAGTGCCCTTCCTTAGACAAGTCGCCATACATCCTGGTCCTCCACTGCATTGGGAGGAGTTCTGTCTATCAGAAGGCTCAAGGGTGCTGAAAATGGGAAAACTTTATTAGAGTTCTGCTCTCAAGAGGACACAGAATATGTATCATAACATTCTCAGTAGATCCGTAACTGATAACATCAGTAATAATCAGTTCTGTATACATTCATCATGAAAAGTGAACTAGTGTAATAGTGAGGATATAAACTCACTACTTAAATAAAAGTGAAGCAAAGTTAGATGAAGACTTATCCTGTACAACTAAAGACAGTCACCATGCAGGAGTGATCCTGGATACAATGCACAGGGTTTACCTAAATGACACTAGTTTTGAAGGGGGGGGATAGGAAAAATAAATTTACTCACCATTTACATATGGGTTCATTCCCATCATGTTGACCAATGCATCACATGCACTTATGAACACATCAAGACCTTAAAAGAGAGAAGGTGGTTTTAGAACAGTGCAGGTCAAATTATAAGCAACTAAAAAAATATGACAAGATCAGATGGCCGTTCAGTGTCAACACCACTTTCAGAACAGGTCTGTGAGAACAATCATCATATTAAAATGAACATCAGGGCAAATAAAAAAAATAAACCCACCTTTTATTTTCTTTCAGCCACTTTACGGGAGAACCTTAGCAAGACCCATAGACCTGGAGATAAATGCATATTTTAGATGGAAGTCTCAGTGCAGGAACTCAAAAATATTCAAAATTTGAAAATCAGATTATGGTATTAACATCAAGTTTCAGATATATGCTTGTCATAGTTCACATCATACTTCTCATAGTATATAAAATATAAGTGGCTGTACTCACCTTAACTTCATAACCAGTTCATATCCACTTTATATCAAGGAACCTGAAGCAAGAAAAGAGTCTTCAGAACCAAATAATGAACCATTTCTTTTTTTATAACTATTATTCTAGTTCAGAAAGACCAATGCAACTCTGCATAATTAACTAGGATAGGGGCGAAATTACTCATCATTTCATAATAACCATGTACAGGACTGGCCAGGATATTTACCTAGAAGATGATCCTACAACATTCTGAAGATCAGGGTCAGCCTCTGAAAGATACCAATCCAATTAATAATTCTGTATATTTATTTACTTTAAAATAATTATAATTTTCTGAAGTGTTGATCTTATCAGGCACACAGCAAGATGTGCTTACCATGCGTTTTACAAAGAAACATTTAATCTTCCACCATTTGTAAAAAACTCCCACAAGCACTTTTAACTTGAGGCAGTCAAGCGTGATTAGTGGTTGAAAGACAACTCAATCTTTAAAAGATACTTTAGCCTAGCAAAGACAAATGCACTAAGTTTGACAAACTGGATTTTATGTCTTCATTATGAAAGTATTAGGTTGGGAGAACAGGGAACTTACATGCCATTGAAGATACTTGGCCAAGAAGGCCAGTGACAGGAAAAAATCCCCATTTCAATCTGCAATAATAAAAAATAAAAAAAGTTAATTACATATCTTCCTTGAACTAAGTACAAAAAGTTTAATATTTTTAAAAGTCAGTTGGTAATGAGTCACCATCTTAAAAAGCATATGTCGGTATGCAGTAAGACTCTTCCTATGGGTCATCATATGGGATTCAAAGTAATACAGCTTAAAAGTTAAAAGCCTCACCTAAGGTGGTCTTCTCAGCCACGAGTCAGTATCTGCTGCACCTAGACATATCCACCCTCCTTCAAAAAGGCATATTTAAGTTGCCGCTAATCCATACCGAGTCTGAAATTGAGGAATGAAATTAGGATTGGAGTCAGTTTTATCCATCATTAGGATAATACATTACAATATCAGAATCCTTTTGACTTTCTCTCACAGATTTCAAGGGATAAAAATGCTCATCATAAAAGTATATCATGGTAATCTGAAAGACAAGTAAGGGGGGGGGGGGTGTCTTACTTCAGCTTTGTCCAATGCTTGTATATTCCATATTACTGCTATCCAGGCAGCCCCTGTAGATGCAGGGACACCAGTCTTCCTACTAGAATTAAGTTCTCCATTGTAGACGTTCACTGGGGCCTGAAAATGAATTACCATTTATTAAGACACTGAACAGCCTTATTAATACCCAAGCAAGCAATTAATTTCTCTTGTCGGCATCCCCAAATGAGACAGTGTACAAGACCCTGCCCTTATACAGAGATACACATTTGTCTGATCTCCGACTCCACTTAGCACATGTGTAGCAAGTGTAGCACCAACATGCAACTCTGGGGGTCGGTTTAAATCGATAAAAAGGCATTACATTCC